GTGTTTGTATGCAGTCATTGGTGAGCACCTCGTCTTGGGTGATTGAAAACCGAAAGAATGATCTGATCTGAATAAAAAAGAGCCATGAAAGCAGCAGAATATGGAGAAACATGCAGATCCGTGGATCATTAATATTTACATATACTTTGAGCCAGGGAGAATTGGATTTCAAAGTCGGCCTTTTAGTGTAATGTATGCATTGTGGCTCTTGATTGTGACATTGCTGCAGCCTGAGAGGCAAACTGAATATTTTTGAAGTGAATCTTTTAATGGAGACATGAGAGAGTGTCTGTGAAGGTCAGTGTCTCAGTGGTGCTGTGAGCAGCTGTGCTCTCCTGAAATGTTTGGGTTGCTCAAAATTAAATAAAAGTTCCAAAGTGCAAGCACTGTATTGAATAAATTGTGTAGTCTTCTCTTTGGCCTGGAAATATGGATATATGAAGCGGGATGTTTTCCCTGGACCAGGTGATGATTTTTGTAAAGCATTGCTGCTGTTGGATAAAAGCACTAAGTCTCTAAAAGCTCTAAATATTCTGTATCTCATAATACAAAAAATCATGAGTGTTTCCCACTCATGATTTCACAAACACAGATCTAAGAAACATATTATGCAACATTTAAAAAAAAAAAATGTGATTAAAGTGATTGTCAACTTTATTTTCCATTTTCTCCAGCAGAGAAAAGATTAAAGTGATGAGCTCTATCACTTTTTTCATCTCTTCAGTCATCCCACTTTAACTTTTATCATTTGGATCTATGTGTGTATGTGTGTTGGTTCAAAAGATTTTATTATTTTCAATTCAGTGCCCCATCTCAGCACCCAATTCATTTTCAAGTCTTTGAAAGTAAATCTGTCACTGTCTGGTGATGCTCATTGAGACATTCCCTTCCAAGGACAGGGTGGCAATTAGACAGACAGAGATTGACAGATAGATAGACAGGTGACCACTATGGTGGCCCGCTAAAATATCTGCTGGCTGCTTTACTCACTTGAAAATGAACATTTTACTTTCCTGTGTGTGCCCTGCCCATGCAACATGATAATTGCGCAGCCATTGGCACTAAAGAGGTGTCCTTCTACCTCAGTCGCTGTTTTCACTAGTTTGAAAATACGTTGGTGGTCCCTCCCCTTCTGCTACATAGCCAAGATGGTGACAGTTTAGGGTGAGAAGTGTCCAGCGTTCCACACTCAATTTTTTTTGAGTATCCTGCCATCCAGGTTATTACAGTGCACTGCATGTTGCAGTAATTGTCAATATGAACGTACTTATAGACTCAAAATAGCAAGGGTGATAATGGAAGTACACAAACTGAGACACAGCTATTGTACGTTACCTAACTTCCTGCTTTGCTCCTGTCATAATTACTATGACCACTAGAGGTCGCCTGACAATAAAACGTAACTACGGGTCGTAAAAAGCTGCTGGCACAGATGTACTATTGGCTTGTTTTTTTCAGAACAGTCTTGAATTTAACCTGATGAAGGTAAGTGACAATGTGCAGATTTATTTTTGATTCTGTCCCTGTAATAAAATTCCACATGACCCCACAACCACCACAAACCTCCCGATGGTCCACATAGCTCTATGCAAATTTAATTTGGTTCAAGCAGGAAGACCGGCATCCTCCAAAAACCCCTCTGAGTCTATCCAGCAAAACTTGCCCTGAAATAGTTGAAAAACAAACACAGGGCTCCACACAACATATTTTATTCAGTAGCCATTCACAGTGCTCTCCCCATGAAAATTATAATATTCCCCACATTGCCATTCACCACCAACAGAGAATCAGAATTCATTATACCTTCTTCATTCACTATCCTGATTGTCTATTTTCCTCCACACTTTGCAACCAGTTTTTTTATACTGTCAATTTCATGTTTTTTCATCTAATTCAAACTTTATATGGCCTTTTATACGTCAAGAAAATGTCATGACCTTAGGCCTGAATTTGAAAAAATGACTGTCTGTTATGTGGAGAAAAGATTCATTGTGCTGCTACAAAAACAAACAAGTGTGAGCAGTGTGGCTCTACAGTAACAATGTCTGTGGGGATGACACCTGTCTTATTGCTCTCCAGATGCTCTGCTCCAACATTCAGGCCATTCGGAGTCACAGAGGGACTGGTTGTTCATCCACTGATTCTGCCGTGTCTTTCAAAGCCAGTCGTCATTACTGCAGCTCTGTGCCTGTGTTCTCAATTTACTCTAACAAGGCTCACACAGACCACTATAAAAGTGTTGGGTGTCTATTGATATCAGGAAGCACCTGCTGTCCGTAAAAGCATCTGGCGTTGTTAGTGTGCTGCTGCACTGTTTAAAGTATCTTTGGGAGCCTGACCAGAGGAGTTGGCAGCAACTGATTGCATTAATTAAATGAATCTGAAAAAAGAGATAACTGCAGGCTCTTGCAGTTAGTTATAAACTAATGAGACTGTATACTGTAGTTTTCCTTTTTATTGCAAGCACCCCTGAGGATGTGAGAAAACTTGTGATTGCAAGATAACATATATAATGAGTATATCATTTTACATAATAGAAATACTCTGAGAGTTTAAGATGTTAACAAATGCTAATCATTGTTGGATGGATATGATATTGGTGGTTTAGGATTTTAAGCTCCTTTTTATATTGTATAACAGGCTGTTGTCAAACTGATCAGTCGAACCGATCAAGTACCTACATTTAAAGTTTAGGTTTGAAACTTAATAATTCAGAACTAGCTTCTGTCTTTATAGTATATATGTAGTTAGCTGCAGCTAGCAGCTGGTTAGCTTAGCTTAGCACAAGGACTGGAAACAGGAGCTAACCAAAAACTATCTACCTACTACTAAGATGCTTAACGCGTTCAAGAAACAATGACAATACAGCGTTTAGTAGTTAAGTCAAACTAGTTCTTCATCATAACTGCATAATCTGTTGGTGTTATTGATCAGTGGAATTTGACTCCTTTTTGTGTGCAGCGAACAGAAAATGGCAATGCCAGATTCACAATATCAGCTCAGTTATCTGTAATACAGCATCTGAACCATCAGCAAGGCAAAAGGCTTGAATCCTCACAGCTTCTGAGATACACTATCTGAATCTGGGTTGACACTTGAGTATGTTACTGATGGAAGGCAAAGCAGTGAAAGTGACGGACGTAGCCATTAAGCCACAGGCTATCAATCAACTCCAGATGATTCTGAATGCGGCCCACCCTGTGCTGTCCTCTGGCCCAGGGCGAAGGAGGTGAAGGAGGACAAGTCAGCTATTTCTTGCTATCTCAGTGTGGGCTCTAGCAAGTTAATCACAGAGATGCACAGCCTCTTTCCTGCGGGCTCAGAAGCCTTGTCGGTCTCCTCACAATGTTGTGTCTGAGTCAAGCGACAGGCTGGACAAACAGATTGGCTGAAGCACGATAATGAGGCCTGCTCCTCTCCCGCCAAGAGGCCAGCCAGCCAAACCCACACATAAACAAAAATAAAAACTACTGCAATAATAGGCAATTAGCCTCTCACTGGTGAACTGCTGAGTTCCACTTCTCACTCTCCTCCTTCTTACTACAACTTTCCCTTTAATTTGACTTAGTGATGTGGTCCCGATTCCCAGTATCATGAAAACATACATTCTGGTGGTTGGTTTGAATGATTTCTAATATCCATAACTATCCAGGCTGCAACAACATGATCGACCACAGACTCAATAGGTCACCCTGTTATCTACTACAGCTTTCCTGCTCCTCATACGGACAGATAGGGATTGATTTAGCTATTTATCACAAACCAGACATCTATGAGAGCAGCGCTTGCCAGCACACTGTAACAATATCTGACTCAAACACACTGATGGAAGAATATGAGCTGTCCATATCAGACTGTATCCCATATCTCACTCAAAAAAAAATGGCCTTATTATTCATTCTTTCAACCTTGAAGGAAATGAGCAACAGGGGTGGTATTGGCAGGATTGAGTGTAACAACAGAGCACCAACTGCTGACTGATGTTACAAGCAGACAAAACTACTTTAATGTCACCAGAGACAAAAAAAAAACAAAAAACAATATCCCAGAATTACAAGAGTGCTCTGATACCATCTAGTGGTGACTTCTAGCACATACGCACAAACATAGACCTCGGAAAGCCAATGAACCTGACAAAAGGAAATCTTTTACAATTACAAGGACAAAAATCTGCTCATCCCTCTCACCCAACACACCACCTGTTCCAGCTGTTACCATCTCGGGGGGTGTCATAAATCACTGTCATCCAAGACAAACTGATACAAAAACTGAATTTCCTCCATAGCATTAAGGACACTGATGTCCTTAAGTGCACCCCACACATACATTCCCTTCTTAAGCAAACTGCAGTGTAACTGTTGACTTGTGTATGCTGTATCTGATATGTTGTCAGATTATAGTAAATGGTATACAGTATTTTTGTATGTGCAGTCATGCTGTTACATATACCGGTAAACTGATTCCACCTGCTTAGGTAATTAAGTTGAACTGAGTCAGACATTTAGCCTCTTGATCAACTGAATTCCAGTGTACTGCTTTGGTTTAGGTAAGTTCACTAGTATAATTAAGAGCCATGAAGGCCCTAGCATATTCTCAGTTTAATTCCAGAAGGGCTGCATTTTTTGCATGTCAGTGTGAGTGGCAGGTATAGACAAAACTGACACCTATCTTTTGACAAAGAACACCATCTACTGGAAAACACAAGAAATACATTACGCGGAAAGCAATGATGCATGTGGGCAAGAGCTTTTCCAAGCTTTCCCCAGTGTGTAGGGGCGAAAGACGGATGTCACTTTAATGTAGCGTCAAATGAACATAATGTGACCTAACGTAGGTGGTGCCAAAATCTGTAACTTAATCAGTACTTTAACATGTTCCCGTATGGCAGCGATACATTTTCATTCAATACCAGGTAGATTTTGGTTCCTCTGTCAAGTAGCAAATAGTCTGTCAATAGTTTGTTATTGACAAATTTCATTAATAAGAATTGAATGAAGAGATATTTCATAAAATTCTTTATTCATAAACTTGATGCAAGTTTACAAATTACTTTACATGGTCAAAATCACCCTTGCAATGTTAAAAAAAAAAAAATGAAACCAAACCAAAGCATGCTAACAGTGCATAACTTTATAACCCGGCCAACGCAGTTAATGAAGCAAGGTAAAGAACCCAGAATCAGGCTAGTTCAGACCTCAGACCAATACGTCGCTCGCCAAAGCAGAGAAGGTTTTTGTTAGTCAGACAACTTGTGTTGGTGTGAGAGGAGCTGTTATTCAGTGCACAACAGACTTGAGTACACCCATTATTCCAAACGTCAGGTTAAAGATGCAGGCCTACAACTGCTCTGATGGCACACTAATCTGAACTGCTACTATTGTTGGGAATCCTGGCATGTTTTAAGGTAATCAAAGCAGGTAGGATGTCTTTTAAGTCCTTGTGTCTTGTATAGTATCTGACGTGGTTCAATTAACAATGCACAGGGAAAAATGATCCTGTGCACTGATGTAGGAAACCACAAGTAAACAAGTCATGAGAAAATGGATACATCTAGTCTTTTTTTTTTCTTTTTTTTTTCTTTTTTTTAAACCACCCGACCCAACCACTCATTGCCTTCAGTAGCTTGGGGAAAAACACCCATTGATATATTGACATGCAAAATACAGCAATATCAAAGAAACAGGGCAGATGTGTTCTGTACCCCTGATCAAGCGCAGGATAATCTGAGGGTGGGAGCAAATCTTTACTCCACATTATCTGATCATTCCAAAAACTTGCTTAGTAATTATTTTATCAACTTCAACGGCATTCAGAAAATCCAAGTGTGTGCAACTCAACAGCAAAACACACTGCAATGTGTACTGGTAAAACAGGGGCGTCATTTTAAAATGGCCCAAAAAAAATAAAATAAAAAAAGATCGACACATTTAAATCTTGCATTTCATGACGATATTCTGAAGCAATCCTTTGCAAAGTCGAGTGTGCAGTATGTATTCCTGAGTTTGCTTCTCCAGAGAATGCAGGGGTGGGCTCGACAATGTGACCAGAATGAAGTGACTAGTACCTTACCAATGGCATCACAACAGCTAACAACCATGCCAATGATCCATAGTCATGTTAAGATTTCGCTTGTGATGAAGAAAGGGAGGAGCAAGAAAGGAGGGTAACCTTTGTCACATCCAGCAAGTCTAAACAAACGTCAGACATGTACTGAACATGAAACAAGCTGTATGTTTTTACACCCATCTCTGCCTGTTTTGAAGATATTGGTGTTGTGACTGAGGTTAGTATTACTGAGGAAATTCTAAAATCAACTCAAAACGTGAGGAATGACTGTATGAATTAGCATAACTAAGCTTTCTATGCTGGTTTTCAGGACAACATACTCAAAACAATTCAAGTAACCACACAATAGAACACCCACAACAAACGTGTAACTGCATTAACTGGAATGCTCCACACAGTTTTCTGCATATTATTCACATTACATCAAAGACCCAGCACACTGAGGGGTACAGCAGTGCTGCGAGTGGTTATGAATAGTAACCAGAGAGGTGGGAATGGGAAGAGCTGGGTTCCTCCTGTGGCAAATTCTGAACAAATAATTTATCAAACCTGAACAAATAATCTGGAAACGGAAGAGACTCCAGTTGATCTTCCCAGGTGTGAATCCAGAAGGTATATGGTCAAGACTATTGCTGTGAATTTTTTAACTCTGGCTGCATTTTTACAAACAGCCACGAGGTCAAGGAAAAGTCAGAAGGTAAAAGGTCACTTTTTTTTTTCCAGACTGCAGGATTGGCAAAGTGGTCAGGATGTGAACCAGCTACAAGAACTAAGCAGGTGACTACACTGTTAAGCTGTTAAGACTAATTTTCTTCAGTACAACAAAACTCCACAAGACTGTGTCTTCACTGCATAGCCTTACTGAGGTTCATCCGGTTTGAGTGATTAGATATGAATAGCCAAACCTCTGGAATGCCAGAAACAGCTGTGTCTATGCCATTGTTGTTACGTCCATTGTGGTGAAGAGGTGCCATCAAATAAGGGGAATGGAACTGTCATTGTTTCCAATAACATGAAGATTACAAATCAATATTTAAAAAAAAAAAAAAAAAAAAAAAAAGAACAAAACTGCAGTAGTCATTAAGCTTACATAAGAACACGGTGTACTTTTGTTTCCTTCTGCAAGAGCATCCATGAAGCAACTTTTCTTTAGTCTAAATGGGTCTTGAGAAGTTGCAGTGCCCCTGCAGTTAATAGTCAGGGGTATATGGTAATACAGTCTCTGCCCAGCCAAAGACCCAGACAAGGTTACATTATAAACAATTAAATCCTTTTGCAGAAATACAAATTTACATGTTTACATGTGGAGTTAAAATCAACTACATTACAGTGTGATCCAATCCAAACACACCCCTGCTTTGCCTGGTCATGTTTCTTGTGTTGCCAGCCTAGCCACACACCAAACCTCTCCTGCAGGGAGTGGTCCAGCTGCTGGTTGTGATGATGACAGTGGTCGTCAACTTTAGAGCTCAGCGGGATGCTGTTCTTCATTATGGGCTGTCCCACCCAGGCTGCAAAAAGTCTCTTCATCTTCCTCCCCACCTCAGGGCTTCAAGCTTTAAAAGATAAAGAGGTTTGAAAGCAAGCTAGCCTCAGAAGCATGTTATTCCAGAGGAGGGAACTTGGCATTACAAAGATAATACATGAGCACAATATTACAGAGGCCGTCCGTGGAGAGAAAAGGCGGTGGTTCTTTTCCACCACCAGCATCTAGTGTCCTTCCCAGCCACCAGTGCATCATATCAGGGAATGCCGCATGCCATTCTCAGATCCAGTCTGTGGTCAGAGAGGCACTGTCCGGCGACTGGAGCATCAGACTGCCACTGCTGGAGGATAAAGCCATGCCGCACCTTTCAACTCGCAGCCAGCAAGTAACCTTGGCATGCTCAACGCCAAAACCAAAGGGTGAGTTTGCGCGCTATTTAGTCCACTGTTTTCCTGGAGTTCAGAACGAATGTCGCAATGGAAAAATTAGATTGTATCAGACAACAGATGCACAGAGAGATAAATATCCAGGGGAGAGGACATCCTTGCGAGTAGCTGATGAACTTGGATGTAAATTTCAGGTGGGGGTGTGTGTGTGAGTGTCTGTGTGTTTATGTGCTAGTTTCTGGGTTGTCGCTGGATGAGGAATTTGGTTTGGAGTTCAAACTCTCATGTAGAGAACAAAATGGTTTGCAGGATAAAAAAAAACAAAAAAACATATTGGTCGCAAGAAAAAGAAAAAAAAATCTAAGACATGTGGTCCCAGTGCAGGAAAGGCAATAGTCTGTTTTAGCCATCTTCCTTAGGGGGTGTGTACCAGCCTAAGGGAAAAAGCACAACAACAGATAATGACTATACAGTAAAAAAATACAAATAAGACAATACAAATACAAGAAATAAAAACAATCACCAAATCTCTACCTCCAATAGTATCAGGGTTACATGCAGATGATTTTTGCCTCATTGGCATGCATCTGCATTTCCAACCTTGTCTGGTTAGTGCAAGAACCAAAAGTAGCAAGCTTAAAAAGTGTTCAGTGGTTAGACCTAGGGCAGATATGGTCCAGAATTTTAACAAAGTTCAGCAGGGCTTTCAGTTCTCAACTCTTAAAATCTACTGTGATTAAATATAGCTCAACGTTGCCTGATGGAGTAAAAGTCATTTACATATTTTCACCTGGCCTGTTTCTAAATGCAGTGTGTGTTTTCACAAAGGTCAAGGACAACAGAAAAGCTGCATGAATGGTCATCTTTGAGCAACTGACTTACCTGTGCGTTTTCTCCAATAAAACTTGTTTAACTTTAAAATGTGAATGTTGATGTTTTTCTTTATTGATTTTATTGTCAATTTCATGTTGAACTACATATCAGACTCCAATAAGACAGCAACTGTTTGCCCCCTGTTGGGTCACTAAGATCCTTAACGTTAGGTGTAAAGAATGGTAAATATCAGCTATGGGAGATATGAAATGGTGCCGTCAGTAACAGACTTTAACAGAGTCATGGTGACAGCACAGCCAAAGTGACAGTTACTGTTTAAGTATAAATTCAGAGCAAATTAATTTGTTTTTCATTTTACCGTTATCTACATCCTTCCTAATATGAATCCCTAAAACCACTATATACAAAACATAAATGTTGTCCATGTTTGGTACATACACAACAGTCCATGCACTAGTTTTCCTCAGCTTTGATCCATGGGATGGATTTGGTTTCAGTAAACAAGGTCAGTAATGCACTCTGTACGAAACTGGAGACAAAAACACTCACCGTTCTTTTCATGGATCTGAACCAGGGATTTGTAGGACTGCTGTGCTCTGGCGAGATTGTACTGGTTCTGCATTAAAAGATGAAAATTAAGTCAACCTTACAGTGTGCATAGGGTTTATGATGACAGTACAGAACAGGAAACAGCAATGACAGCTCTTTTCTACAAGCAAAAAAAATGTATCACACCATCTCCACTTTCAAGAACAAAATGCTGTGTATGGTGCAGGATAATGAACACACATTCCTCTCTTGTTTGACCATTCATACCAGACTTCTGTCAGACACATCTGGTCATCAACATTCACATAAGACCTGGCTCTGCAGACACCACAGACATTCACAGGACTTTGTACAAATCTATATGATAGAGGCTGACTTCATTAAGACTGTAGCAATGCTTATAGTGTCATACCTGACTTTTCAGATAGATGTCCAAATTCATCAATTGCACAATGCCCTCTAGTTCTGGACTATCTTAGGTAGGACTAATCTGCTATGAATTCTGCAAGTTTTTTTTTTCAAACTAAAAAAAAAAGAAGTCTTGCCACTTAAACCACTCAGCTCCCTTCACTACAGCAGAACATGTTTGACTTCTGGAAGAATTCAAAAGTTACAAGCACATCCAGAAAAATACAATCTCAGTGTTGTGCATATCTGTAGCAGAGCTGCAGACTGGCTTCTTGATGTGGCAGAGCTCAGTACTTCTGCTAACTCATCAGTCAGGCTCAGGATATTTTCCCTGGGCAAGCAAAAAAATGAATCACAATGTTCACACAGGTACATGTATGTAATGTATATTTCCAACATGTTTACTGTAATCTCTCAAAACTCTTGTTCCTATTTGCTCGCCCCATCACTGTGAGCAAACCATAAATAATGAGCCATGGTTTTCCTCTTTTTGCAGGTGTCACTGCCTGTTACCATGGAAACATGGCTTCTAGTTTTGACTAACTTTTTAAGCTTAGAGTATTCAGTCTTTATTTTTGTGATGGTGTATAACTGGCTTTAGACTAATCTCAGTACAAATTTAAGATCGGTCTAACACCACAGACCAGAATAAAGTCCATTTGTGAAAGCTGCTTTAAGAAGCTGAATAATATAGTTTATGGCCAAAACAGCTCAAAGTTGCATACGATATTTGCAGTAAGGACTTTTCTACACAGGAGGCATTTTGGCACATTTTCCAGTCATCCTTCTCACAGGTCTGAAACACTCATTTAAAAAAAACAAAACAAATCAACCGTCGTCTGCACAGTCCACATAAAGGATCACTTTTCACTTGTGCTTAATACATTCAAACTTGCACTAAAATTTTTACGCATCAAGCCTGTTTTTTTACATTTAAAATGATTATCTTGACAGTGGTTGTGTGTCAGGCTTAAACATTGTAAACAAGGGTGACCTACACCCAGCACTGTACCTGAATGCATCCTCTGTAGACACAAAAGTAACTAAATCTGCTCTACTTACATGCTGCTTTTGCTATCAACCTGTGTATTACTATAGCATTTCTATAGTGACCGTATGGTAACTCGTAACTGGTTTTTAAAGAAGCCCCTGTTCACCCTATCATACTAAAGTAAAGTGGTGTCAGATTAAGTGCTTAACCCTGGTTGAGACACCAGGTTGTGTAACATGTGTTGACCTACTCACACTGTCAACAAACACTTGTTTATCCCAGATCACTGTGTGAATCTGAAAGTGTATTGAGGGGTAAAGGTCATCAAATAGTCTTCATGAATGCATTTTTTCCAGTGCTGGTGAAGCTTGAACACAATTTACAAAGTTCTTTCCTTAAAAAAACCCCACACAATCTCAAAGCAAGCGTTTTCACCTCTAGCATAATGCAGACACCTTACTCCTGTTAGGCCTTTATTGACAACTGTTCGGCATCCACTTTTAAGACGAATCGGTTAACAACTAAAAATACTCGTTTCTCCCTTATACATGCTCACATGTTCATTGCAATACTAACATTATGCAATAAGAGAATTTAAAAAGCTATGATCTGTTTTCTTTTGGTTCTCCAAGTGAAAATAATTTTCACAGCTGTTGTGTCAGCTGATTAAAATACAATCATGCAGAGGTTTTATCATAAGAATAAAAAAAAATGTAAGTTGTCCAGACAAACTTCATCACAGTTGCACATTATGCTTAGACAAGATTTATCAGATTGGGAAAGGATGAAAAGTAAAATATACAAGTGAGAAACAGCAAAAATTTCAGTCTACACCAAAACATATGACACAGCAAAGTAGAATGTGTATCTATGAGACCAAGCTTCTGAGAGGGACTCCCATGTTTCTTTCATACTTAACTTAGTAAACTCTGCATAAAGCCTGTAGCCAGAAAACATAACAAGTACAAGTGACAGCAACTGCAAACTGCAGCACAAAAAGATAAGCATCTACCTTGGCCGCCCCAGTAGTGACACGATGGACCTCCCACCCCACTTGGATTAAAATAAAAAAAACACACAGCCAGCTTTGGCTGCAGAAACAGGAGGCTGTCACACATCACAACACGCCACCACTAAGAGCCAGGAAACCAGGCCTCTGTGTCAAAGCACTGGCATCATGGTCCACATCATTCATTACATGAGGTCAACATTATCACAGGATATTTCCTGACTTGAAATTAAACCTCTTGTGCTTCCTCACTTACTTTATTGGCTCCAAACTGCACTCTGGCTTTTCCTTTGACTAAAGTGGCATTGATCTGCATGATGACAGACTCAATGGAATAGGCACTGCTCCAACCCTGCAATCAGGAACCGCAGTGTCAGTAAAAGTAGGTTTTAAAAATGTAAAACAGATGCAAATACCATCCAAAGTAATATTTAATATCATGCAGCTCAGATTTACATTAAATTAAAGCATTGGATACATTTGACATACCTGTTTGGTGAGAAGTTCCATGCACAGGGCACCTCCTCCAAGAACATAACTAAAGCAAGAAAGAAGTAGACAGCTTTTAATCTAAGTTTGTTTACAAACTCAACCCTGACCTCAATAGATTATGGAGATGGAAGAAACTGAGACGTGTACCAGCTAAATGAACTCACCCTCCAGAAAGCACAGGCGAAACTACCCGGACAAAGGGTGGATCAAAGGGGAAATTATCCTGTAGCGATGAACAGCAAAAATGGTTAATTTACAAACTTCAAAGACTTCTGAATGGTGTTTCATTTTCATGAAGGCAAAAGTCAATTTCACTCACTTTATATGAGAAGTTTAGTAAAATGTAATCCATTCCTTCCTTTTCCTTTAGGACTTGTAAATCACTGTGTAAGGGGCTGTCTGGATCCACCCTGTTGGTCATCAAATTATGCAGTCAGCTTGTGTTTAAAGTGAGATTCGAAAAGAGAAAATAACACATGACACAAAATCCCAAAGTTACTCACGTCCTTAGTTTGACATGCCATTCATACAGGCTGTCGTTAACAAGCTCAACTGAGTAGATGCCTGCAAAAGAAATTGATTAATTATGACCATGCAGAATCCGAGGTCTAATAACAGCTGTAATGATTTAATCTCCACTTTCATTCTATAAACTACAAGGTAATGCAGTGAGGCAAACACTCATCGGATAATTCAGCTACAAATATCTGAAGCCTTGTTCAAAGGTGCTTGGAATGTGTACAAAATAAAACAAAATGGATCTCTGACTAATTATTTAAAAAATGGTTTATGCTTAATTTTTCAAAGAGTAACATTTTTTCTGTGGAAAGCATATCAATGTGGCTTATAGCCATTACTAAAGCATACATGAGTCCTTTGCACAAAAGTAAACAGTGTAGTAGCTTACGGTAGTTGACCTCAGGATAAGTTATAAAGAGTTGGCTGTCTTCTGAATCCTGCTAAACTAAACTAGTTCTCAAATGCTTTCTTTTGATCATGTATACCTCAAATCACCATGCTTGATGTCCACCATCACATCACATCACAAGGATAGAAATGATGATTATTGTGAGTGTGGGTTTGTGCTGGTGCATTTCTGGGTTGAGATTTTTTTTGTTGTTGTTTTTGAAGTGCTTTTTTTTGCAGATTTGCAACAAAGAGCAGACCTTTGTGTGGTGTGCATACCTGTCTTGTAACTCTGAGACCTGTAGATCTCTCTAAGCTCCTTCATCAGGCGGTCAGAGGCTTGCACTGAACCAGACACAGCTCCCTGCAAAATACAAAACAACTGTAACAGTAAAGACAAAGCACACAGCCCTTTGTAATTCGCCATGAGGGCAAACCTGTCATTTGCACTTAATGTGGGCCAACATCAAAGAGAGAGCTTTATCCTGCTAGACGTCAATATTTATATCTCTACACCCCCTGAAATAATGTTTCACTGATCCTCAAAATATGAATAAAAAAATGTAACATAGGCCATTGAAGCATGCCTTAGTGGTTCTATAGTTAGGGTATAATTGTATTTTTGCATTTTTGACACATTTCAGATACAAAGACAGCCATTGAACAGGATGATGAGCAAGCAGAAAGACCTTCCCAGAAGAAAAACAAATCTTTTCAGAAGTTTTTGCTGCCTTGAAGGGCAGATGCTAAGAGAAACCTGATGATACTGCATAGAAGCACATTTAAAAAAAGGACACATTCCCCACTGTCAGATAAATGTATGAATTGTCTCATCACTGTCTTCTTTCTTAACTTTCTTTTTAAAAACCTTTGCACATTTGTCTTTCACAAAAGTAAGCAATAGTGACAATATGAATAGCTGAGCATATAAAAATTTTATGTACATCAAATGTAGGATTCACAACATCTACCAAGGTGTGAAGTTTGGTCCTAGATCAAAGATGTCATCAACCATAAGTACTATAAAATACAGTATAAGTACTTCACTGAACAAACACTTACATTCAAGTGATCCTGCCTCTGGTTCTTTCGGATCTTCTCAAGGATGGCCAGATTCTCCTTCTCAATCCCATCGTCCTCTGATTTTTTCCCATCCACAGGCTCCTCCTCTTTCATTTCATAGTGGTCCAGATCCTCTATGTCCTGTTTGTTTGTGTTTGATATTTTAAATCATATCTGGTTCTCAAGAAATACATGCAACTTAAAAAAGAGCTCAGCGATCAAAGCCAGTGCCAAGTAAAAAGATCTAAATGAACTTGCTTGTTCACTAGAATCACAATGTAACAAGAATTATATTAGTGTTTGATTCAAGGGGAAACTATCATAATCAAACAAAACCCACTGTCAGTAATAATGCAAATGTATATAATGAAGATAAAGAGAAGCAAAACAAAAAAGAAAATGTTGCCATTCTTATTAAATGTTATAATTACCCAAGCTACCTACCATAATGGAAAATTGGAAGAGGCTTAACGTGTCTTATTTAAAGCATGTGTGACTAAGATGGAAAAAAATACACTTTTCACTGAGCACAGCACCACAAGAGCGATACATGAGGTGTGTAGAGCAAAGATGATGACTTACTTCTCCCATCTCCTCCTCCTCCTCTTCTTCAGATGTGACCTCTTCTGTCCCATGCTATAAACACACACACCACAGACAAAGTATTATTGGCTGGGCTAACTGGTCTTTTTATTTTACAAAAAACACCTTTAACTGTCTGTGAAACAGGAGGCCATTGATAAGCTTAGACAAAAAAGTCCTATAAATCACCAAGGCCCTTTTAATGTAAGCTAATATTTCATTACTAGGCACAAGTGGTTTGGAAGTGCATAATAAAACATCCTAATTGAAGCATGCAAGTTCCTTAAATGTAATCAAATACTGGCTGTATCATGCCATAGGGAGGTATTTGACAAGAACAAACTAGGCAGCCTTGCCTTTCGGTCTTGTCCCACGGGGCCTGCGGGCAGGGGCTGGTCCAGCATCTCAACATCAGGATGTTGGGGAAGGTTGTACAACCGACAAAGGTCACAAATAAGTTTCTTCAACTGCTGCAAAAGCTAGAAAAGACAAACCACAAAAAAGAGGGGATATAGAGTTAGATAAACCATTGAAGATCGCAAATTCAGTGACATAGCAACGCCACATGGCAGACATGTGACAGACATGACATAAATGCCAGCACAAACATATGTGGGTGAGCTTCACTAAAGTGTGATGATGTTGTGAATATCACAAGTTCTTGAACACAGAATTTGTGATTCATGATTGTGTAAGACAAAAGACAGTAAAATGTTTACATCATTCAGAAAGCAGTGTGTTGTAGGGCATTATAACTGTCACTGTAAAGTAAAGCCCAGCACTCTGTAAGTTGTAGCAATAAAGTTTGGGCTAACTACTAACATATGACTTCAAAGTTAAGACTTCAACATAAAACATTTACTGTAATAGCACTGCAGATATGTGCAGGAAGAATAAAATTGTTTGTGCCCATATAAAAAGAGCAGCCATCAGCTAGTGTGTGCTGCCTTTGCAAATTTGGTGCAATTCAAACCCAGGCTACCACAAAAACATCTGTGCAACAGTAAGACAATGGATCGATCTTATCTATCCACAGGAAGGCAAGGTCTGTCCTTTACCTAAAAGACAACACTAACAATGTTGTACTCTTTATCTGGCTGTCGACTCTGTAGCTATGGTACAAACAAAAAAAACTTCTGTCCAAAAAACTGACAGCACTTCTATAAAAAGCATATTTTGTGTCCTACAAACAGAGCAAGCAGCTTGAATAAGTAGGCTAACTAAGCTCAGGATGTCACCACATGCATAGGATTACATAAGGGGCTGCTTGTCACAGACATTTTGACCTCAAAGGTTGTACTGATGATCTAATGATACAGCCATTTGGCCTACTGAAAACCTGCCTATCTGTACTTGCCAGTTAGACATGTTTATCACATTCCCTAAGTAGAAAGTCGCACACATTTATGCAGCACATGCAAGCTTATATTTATGTTTGAAAGGCCATATGAATATGCTCAGTGTTAAATCCTGTGAATGTAATAATAAGATGGCAAAAACTGTCAGTGAACTCTCTCTTTACCTAAGCCAACATTGCAAAATTCTTGCAAGAATGAAGCAAAGCCTGTTTGAGGACAACAACTTGTGCAGTCTAAAATACTGACATAAAAATCCAATACCAAGTGCAGCCTGTATTCATCACATCTATATAATAACCAGCATATTAAATAAGTCTCAAATAAAGGAGGAGTGCAAAAAGATTATTTAGCACCACAATTATCTGCCCCTTCTGATGAGGCTCATCACAGCAGGCTGCCATTATGTCACAATAATGCACAGAAAATGCTCCTGCTGGGAGGCAGCCTGGTCAATACTTGTTTAGCCAAGAAACTCAATTCAACTTAAAATAAATTAAGGGTAGTCTTTTCATCCAGTCACATGCCATATACCTCTGATATACAATGAAAGAATTTTGGCTGAGGCTACCTTTGACTCTGTTTTAACAAATCAGAATACCTTGAGAATGAGTCAGCTGGGCATTGAAATGCCCTGCTCAGTGTTCATTTATGTTAACTTGAGGCAAACTGCTGCATCACAAGATAATCTGTGTTTTGTAGTGAGCATTCACAGTATGGGTTCAACAAAACCTACTGTGTGTGTGTGTGTGTGTGTGTGTGTGTGTGTGTGTGTGTGTGTGTGTGTTATGGCAACATTTTGGATGGCAGACAAACTGCACAAAGATTAATAAAATTGTAAGCATATCCTCACATAGTATACAGAAATTGTTAAGTTTTCCTTAGTGATAAATAGTGAAACAAGCGAATCGGGATAAATACCAGAGTACTGCCTTTTCTCACATCTTCCAACCTCTCCAAAACTTGCGCCAAGCTCGGGTCATCAGAGTCCACAAACCATATTGGCGGCGTAGATGGATAAGATTCCTGAAGACAGTGAAACACAACAAAAAGGAGACGGTCACAACAGCACAGTTGACATGTTTACCTGCTTGCGTGTCGCAAGGTTAAATACAGTCGGTAAATAACGTAGAATTTGGGTTGACGACATTAGCATTCAGAGTGTAGCGATAGCTAACAGCCGGGGTTGCTTATCAGCACTGTTTAATGTCAGACTGTCCAAACAACAACCCAGCTACCAAGACTGGGTAGCTATTAGAGACTCTAATAAAACTACGCAGAAACCTGTCCCGCATAGCATCAGATTGTACCGTTGTGGAGGTAGCCTTCTACCTGGCTAGCAAGTTAACCAGCTAACTTTAGCTCGCTAATGACCAACGAGGGAAGTGTATAAATCCTGACACTTGTGTTGCTGTCCACTTACCGTTATGTTACAGTGGATAATTAATAGCTTTTCCCCAGTTACATTAAACTGGCAGCTCAGCTCGTCAGGCTTCCAGTCAATGATCCTGAAGCGTTCGTGGTTTGGATCAAAAATGGACTCCAAAAACTTCAGTTCGGCCTTCAGCCCCGACACCGACATCTTCCATGCATCTCCGGCTGGGCCGCTGGGGAGGGGGAGAAGTCGGGACTTAGCCTTTAGCTAGCTAAAGCCACGATGCAAAATTCTATACAAAATTTGCTACAAAGTGGCAAAGACGGACTGCCCCTGTAGATATAGCTGGATACCCAGTGTCAGGTATAAACAGCGTCCGGGCAAATTTCAGCGCGACCGGACAGATTTGCTATTGAAGTAGCTAACGTTAGCTAGCTTTCAGTTAGCATTTGAAAACAGCGCAGTGCTTGGCAAGATGCTAGCGAGCGAGTTAGCGAGCCAGTCCGTTGTTGTTGTCTCTCCGTCTATTGTTGTTGTCTGCCTATCATAACAACATTTTAAGGCTCTCGCGGTGTCCCGTGACCGTCTCCTCACAGTCCCTTCGGACAGTTCCTTATTATTTACTTAACCGGGAAACAATCATACAGTTTCCACGATCGGAACTTATATCCCGCTGTAGGGACAGTGCTTTTCATCCCGGTGTACAACTGTAGCTGGCCTCTTGTGGGGTTTAAAGATGGCGTTCTGCAATCTCCCCGCTCCCGCAGAATCCCAGCATTCAGCGCGTTCTCAATTTATTTCAGGGTGGGAAAATAACAGAAAGTTTACAACACTGGCTCGTTTAGTCAAACATTTGTTGCAGGACAGAAGCTTCATTGTAATTTCGATTTGTTCGTAAGGCAAAAGGAACCAGTTTCCTTCTTAAGGTAATGCATACCAGAGTAAAACTCGTGCATTCAACTTAGAATTAGTGCATCATTTACTTTGGTGCCACCAAATTGCCTTAAATTATTTACTTTATTTTTCCGATTAAAATCTGTTTGATGCACTGTCAATGAGGAAGCTGGGCTGTGCATCATTTTATGACTTGGCATAATTATTAAATTAAATATCTTTTTAAGATTTGTTATTGTCCAAAAAAAATAGGCTGTTGTAAATGACTTATTGGCTTTGTTAAACAATTTGAGCAATTTAGCATTTTAGTGCGCATCAGTATGGCCTACTCAATATTCTTGTTGACTTGTATTAATTTTCAGTGAAAAAGTCTTATTAGAGTTCTCTGGGCTGAATGAGGCATAATTCCAACCCATTTTGATCTAAATTCTGATTTGCATGTTCTTTCTCCAGTGTCTTTAACATATTAGTCACAGGAATTGTGCCTGCACCAGTTTGTTTTCAACAGGCTACCTGGACACCTTAACAGGTTATTAAAAAGAAGAATCTGTGTAACTGTACTTACTGCACATGAAGGTTATTATTCACAATCTGCCCCTCCCTCTCTCTCTATGTGTGTGTACATCCTGGTGTTTTATCTAACTGATAAGGATAGATCACAATTTATAGAGGACTTTTGTAAAATATTGCATCCTAATGAGCACAGAATATGTCTATGATAATACAATACAATAAAATATAGACCATAGATATGTATTTTAATGACTGCTCAGGCTAAATGTCACTTTCCCACTGCCTTATGCATACGGGGTTGTAAAATAAAATCTACTCTGCTCACAAGTATTTAGGAAAATAGTCTGCTGTAGTCCATATGCTGTGTATGCGCTACCTTTCTCTAATAGAAACATTTGATGCGGTGCATTTGTGCATCAGATCCTCTCTGTAGTAGTACCTCATGCCCACCAGGGGGTAGTGTTGCCTTAACATCTGAACAACAAGGGTTAGGTTTAGGGCAGGGTAAGCTTAAAACACACTGTAGACGGTCACGCTTTCCACAAACTGGTTATTGTATTTTGGGTTACAGGGACATCTATTCTGTTTATATTCATGCATTGTTTGTATTTATGTATTCCATTATTTTTGATGGCTGAACAAATGGCAATACTGTGTCTATAGATGATTTTTAAGTTTGCCTCAAAGCTACTTTTTGATGTCAAATTAAAACCTGGAAATATTGTGACTTTCACATTGACAGCCAGACAGGTTCAATACTAGAGAGACAGCGCATAGTCTTCAAGAAGCAGTACTTTTAGTCCTTGAATTCAATTACACAGATTGGGTGGGTTTCAGGGAGAACACCAAACCTTAAAGGCAAACTTTAAAAGCCATTTCCTTTGTGAGTAAGTCTGTTATCAGAAGAGATTTGGGAGCAGTTGACTGGCCCAAAATAGTGCTGTCCTGTCATCTCCAATTATCCTATCATTAGCTCCGCCTTTCAACAGGGATAACCTTTCTTTTATTTGGTCTTCTCCAAATTAGTATTCCATGATGCTCTATGGAGGACACAGGCAACTCACTCAAACATACTGGCAGTAGTTCAGTGCTTTGTGTCTAATTTAGTCATATGTTATACCTCAAACCTGTCATGCTTCTGACATTTAATGGACTGAGCAGATGACTGCAAATCACCCTTATATGTATGTATGCTGAATATGTCAGCTACAGTAGTTTCAGTTCTTGAGCCGTCTTTCAGTTCAAGGTTTCATTGTTTGGGAACAATATATTGATTTCCCATTTTAAAGGCCCATACACTAACAAGGTGGGGTTGGTTGACCATCTGGTCCAAACCTGACCAGGAATTGAACCATGACTGCATTCTCATATGAACACAGTTCTGTCTCCTTACGCCCTAAGCCACTCCGCCAGCCATCCATTACAACCTCCATGTATGTGATCTGACAAATTTTTAGATTCACAGTGTAGAATATTGCAAGTGTGTGCAATAAACTCTAACAGTCTACCTGAACTCAGTGAAGTGAGGTCATGGGATTTGTTAATGTAATGGTTTCTCAGGAAAGGTCAAGGTTCCAGTCTAGCAAGCATTGTAATTCATTTTGAGGGGGATTTGGGCAGCAAGAATGGATGTGATGCTGCAAAATCAACAAGGGTGGATGTGGATAACATAAAGTGCGCCGAACCTTATTTTCTGACCCTACTCTTTGGGTTTTTGTTAGGTTATGCATCTGTATTAATGAGTGTGTGAGTGAGGGGTAGTGGCTGCCTCTGCATGTGCACCTCTGTGCATGTGTGTTGGTTTGTGCAGTGAGTATTGACATTCAGAAGTCAGGGTACTGGCCAGATCATATGATCATAGTAATTTATTCTGAGTTGGTTACAGAGGTTTGCAAATCATTAGTTCCCCATTCAAGTTATAGTAGCAGAGCCTACTTCCAGATATGTAGATAAACTGGTTGAACGGGTTGCAAAAAAAAAAAACCCACAATTCATTCAGTAGCAACAGAAGACGTAAAAAAATCTTGCACTGCATGTGAACAAGAGCTGAAAGTAACAATAAGCTTGGTGAGATCACTTCTTGATTAAAAGTCAGTCACACATTTTAACTAGGCTATCTCTGTTTAGGACTCATAAAGTTGGATTCTGTATCTGATAGACTTGGTTGGTAAGTATGAGGCGAGATGTCCCTTTACGTGTTGTGTTGTAAGGGTTACCTTCTCAATGTGTCACATACTTTCTGCTTTTCCACCTGGTCATCCTGCTTCATTTAACTGCCTGGCTAATTTTGAAGCTGCTGACCTGTGATACCCAGGTTGACTTTTCAGTAGCAGGTTAAATCAATGGTATCCATCCTTGTTGTTGTGTAATTACTCTGTATTGATAGCTTACTGAGGAGACTGTGTTGAGGGACTGTCCTCTATATGTGCCTATTGTCAGGATGTCATGTTATAGGGGATAACAGTTGTATAACATCTTGCTAAAAGCAATTAACCCACCATGCGAAACGTGTTGCATCCTTCCACAACAGACAGCTGCTAAGAGGTTTACTCCATGCTCTTATATTAGTTACAACAACATTTGTCCTTCTACTAAATGTTGACAAGCAATTAATAAAAAACACGATGCAGATGCATATTTGCAAAGGAAAGCGTCATCATATTTCATGTTGTTTTTCATATGCGTAAATTAGATAGCACTGCAAGGGAAAAGATATTGTTTATGGCTCCTTATTGATTGCACCTACAGTATCCGTTTCATTCATGAAGAGGACATGCAAATGAAGGGGAGGAAACAAACAACTGAGAAATTGATCGTTGACCTGAGTGTTAGAATTATGCTCCACATATTTTAGCCTGAGTGTATCTCAAACAATTTTGGCAGAGCATATCTTCAGAGATGTCACAAAGGCAGACATGAAGCTTGTCAAGGGTAAGAACAAACTACAAACAAACATTCTTTGGTTGAATCCTGATTGTCTTTTCAGCAGTGTTTTATGATTGAGCAGCTGACATGTAGTTTGTCACAGCGCGCCTGTGTACGCACTAATAAAGAGGCAGATTGCTGTTGTCCTCAGTGATTTATCCTGCCCCTCTGTCCTCCATTTGCACTAGACGAAAACTTAATTAAAACCCTGCCTTGTCTCCTCATTCCATCCCAGACAGCAAGAGCAAATCATTTCCCACCATTTACAACCTTTATTATTTCTTTATGAACAACCCCAGAGCTGGAGTCACAAGGGCCAACACGAGGGCTCTACATGGCTCCTTAAAATAATGTCCTTTTCAACTTGACCTTTAACCCCATTATAAGATGTAAACGTACAACTGCTAGCATGTTTTATTTTCATCATCCCATTTAGATACTCTCTTACAAATTGTAGTGTGTGAATAATTGGTAGCACAATCCTAATTAAACCTTTAAATGTCTTGCTTGTATATATACTGGGGGTACATGGAATTGATACAGAGGAAGTGGAACTAAATCAACTTAACCTCATTGTCCTGGTTTGTTCAGTGCTCTATGTCACAGAAAAGTCCACTGAGTATTGTGACAGCCAGTTCAGCTTATTAGTCCACTGAGAGTCTTTATCAACAGGACAACTGCTCATGATTTGCTCATGACTGGAAAAAAAAACAACAACTGCATCTAAGCCACAGCAGTGTTGAACCAATGTCTTGTGGGGATTTGGAGGTGTTTAGATGTTTAGCTTTGCATAGCTGAAGCCATCCCTCAACCGCCCACACTGCTGATTCACCACATACAGCAGGGCAGTTTGTCAGAGGAGACAGCACCATTCCCACCAAGGAGAAGCAATATTCACTCTTCTTCATGGGGAACAGTGAGCATATGAGCAGACACTTCACATCCAGGACACAGAGCCCTCATAGTGACTGTAGCATATGTCCTTTGCTTCATCCAACACAACTGACAGAGATGCTATTTCATTTACAGTGAATCTTTATCTCTCAGAACCAGGGCTGGACAGTATAGCCACCATAGGCTTAATTCGTGGTACAGCCTGTCTGTGAAATATCTCTTTTGTATGCTTTTAAATGTTTATGCTGCAAGGGGGGATGAAATGTCCAGTCCAATTTACTATAAGGTGAGAACTGTCCTTGAGACAAAAAGATTAAGGGGGCTAAATAAGAACTGTTCACCGCTGTATTTTAGTCTGTGCACGGTCCAATAAATGTTATTAATTTGAACTGCATTAAGTCCAGACAGTAGCAGATGTTTTTCACCTTGGGAAAATGTAAAAAGCGCTACATTTCTGTTTGGTGGTGCAATGACACTCTGTTCTTGTCTACT